CCTTATATATGTGATTGTTAAAAATTAGTAAATCCTATTCAATTTTGCTTAAATATGAAAGAATTTGTGATTAGAAACCTTTGCACATTTATTTCTCATTTTAGAGATTTCAGCCACCCCGAATAATAATAAGACAGGGCAATGATTTGCTTTGCTAAAGGAGAAGCTTAGGATTCCCAGACAGTCTAAGTTAGAAATGGGTTCTGTGATTTCTTCGATGTGTGTATGGTAGTATTCTTATTTGCCACTTCACCTTCTCACCGCTCACAGAGGGAAAGGATCTTTGTTTTTAAAAAGGCAATTTGTTTTGAGCAACGCTAGGGAACAATAGTTCCACAGGATTCTATTAAAGAAGCTTAGAGCAAACAATGTTCTGCCTTCGACTCATCTCATAAAACGTTTAGCAATGTCCAATTCCTAGTAGGAATTGTTTTGTCATTTTGCTGACCCAGAACGGACAGAAATCTCTAAAAAATTAACTCACAAGCCTCTTTACAAAAATTTTGTTCTTTTAAAAAAATTGCAGCATTAGATTATTTTCAGAAAAACGTGATTGAGACTGGTGAATATTTGTCTGAAAGACTACTCTCATCTTCCGAACTTGACATTCATTACCAAAAGTTAGGTTTCGTTCTGTGTACCACATTATTTGGCCGAGAGTAGCTAAGACATTTTATCTGTTATTTTTGTAGTCTACAAAAGCCTGCTTTGCTTTAATGGCTGGAATTTTTAATCGTTAACTGCTGATTCTATTGCTACAAGCCTTACAAAGTGGCGTCTTTGCTCGCTATTAAAAATTAAAAGGGATTCGGTCTTTGCGTTCTTCACTTAAACATTGCATGTTAATTCTAAGACTTTATAGATTTCAAATTTGTTATTCAGATTTTACAGCAAAATTATTCCTAAATTTGGTGCTTCTAAAACCATTTTTATAAGCACAACCATGTTCTGGCATGGTGACTAAATAACCGCAGACAAATGAAATTTTTCTAACATACAAAGGTTGTGTCACCCTATTTTCAACACTGGCAAAATTTCCTTGTCTTTCCCATCTGTAAGCAGTGACTTAGAAAAATAACACTCACCTGTCAGTGTTGAAGGCAACAAAACTATTGTTGGTGCAAATTTTACCGACTATCACCAACTGCATTAAACTTTAAAAAAAGTAGAGCATGCCTATTATCTTCTTTTTAAATTTGATCTGCAAGTACAAGGTATCAAAAAAATATTACAAATATATGTTTATGCATCATGTTAAAAAATTTGTAATAAAACCAGATAAATTGGAAGAAATATTACAAGTGGATTAAAAAAATAGTTGCCCCAGTTAGCTAATTAGTTCTATGAAGAGCTCGAACAGTAGACTAGGCGCTGTCGTAATGTGCATATTTACTCATGATAAAGTGCAAATTTCTTGTCCGAAACACATGGAATCCATTCATGGGACAATTGTTGGGAATAGTGCTGTGCATGCGTTCATTAACCTGGAGCCAATCAAGGAGCTCTCAGTCAAGTAGCCAATGGAAGGTACCCGCTCGTCAACACGTGCACAAGCAAGCACACGGATCATGGAAGACAATTTTACACTGTCCAAAACCGGCGCATACATAAAATTATCAAGTTCTGATTTCCCCAAGCAGATAACTTTCCTCGCTGACAAGACCTTCATCCTGCTCCAAGCCGCAGACTTCCAACTGATGGTTCCATTACGGACTTATCACTTTTCCATGTCAATTGACTAGCATGTGCATAAGGAATTGCAGCCTCTCTATCCTTCTTCTCATTTTTGCCGCACCTCTCCTAGAAGTAGCGGCAGCCTCGCGGTTTTTAAGCAGCGAGAATTTCGATATGAAAAATTCATCAAGGGATTACTCTAGAGTATTCATGAAGAGAGCTGCATCATTGACGAGGCATTATTGCAGCTGTGGACTCCCTCTGCTTCAAAGCAGATATTGCAAACAGGACTTTGGTGCGTGTCCCTTCTCCTTGTGTTTCTTAAGCTATCATTCTCCAAGCAAGATACTGCAGTGACAAAATCGTGTGCTTATCATGAAACACCTTGCAACGGCATTTTTAACGATGCGTAAATTTCAGGGGTTCTTTTATCTAAAAATGCATTTTTCTGCCAGAAATTCACTAAGATCAAAAGCGTATTTTTTCGAGGATACAATGAACACACAAATGGAGACTAATGGGCCTCACACTATGTGTACTTTTAGATTCTTGCCCATGGACCCCTCTGAAACCTTAAAACAACTGGAAATCACATAAACTCAAAAAATGGGGGCGCCTTAGTGCACATTGGTTCTTGCATGTTTCTTTCGGCGAATGGTAGTGTTATGTTTTCCAGTATGTGTTTTCTCCTGTTTCAGTGTAGTTAGGAATTGACAAATTGACAAATACTACCTAAAAATCGAGAAAGTTGAACTAGAAAATAAGAGACACTAATTTGGACAAGGAATGAGTTGGTTTTTAATAAACACATAGATACAATTTAATACTAATTGCCATAGCAAGAATTAATTTCTCCATGCTTGACTGTATTTAATCTCATGTCTAAATGACAAACCATAATTCAAAACGTTTTGAGTGGGAAGTTTGAGGCGCATAAATGACCCAGGTAACAAAATCTCCTCTCAGAATTCTGCCATGATTAACCCTGGGATAGTCTCTTGTGTGGTCGTCTACATCCGTTACATATAACTGCGATGGCAAGTAAAATATCGTGGTTCCACCCCGGTTTAGGAGAGGTAAACTGGTTAGTGAAATGATAAATAGTTTGGAAATAGGGAATCCTTAAAAGATGTCAGCAATAAAATGAATTCAGGAAATGTTGAAAGAAGCCATTTGAAGTAGAAAATAAATAAGAGATTCGTTAATGAGGAGAAAAGTGAACAAGTTTCTTACTAGTGAAATTTTTTTTGGTAATGGTGGGTCTTAAAAATATTGCAGTCATTTTACTCAAAATAAATCATTGGTCTTAGGCTGACCGAACGTTTAGGGTAGTGGAATCAACCTGATCCCATTTTGTGCATCCACTATTTTGCCCTTTGTCTCGCTAATGTATGGTCATATCAAAATTTGTTTCTGTGCGAGTTTTTTAACACCATGCAAAATCCAAGCAATAACGACTACTTTTGTCTGAATTCAAAATATCTAAATTTGGTTGCCGAAACTGTAAATCTGTGGCTTGAAAAAGCTTAACTATAAATGGAAATAGTTCAGCCAAAGTCGCTATTGATGAAGACTGCGAAAATAACACGATATACATTACATTTAAGAGGTATTACCAAATATCGAATAAAGTCATTTTAATGGATAATTTACCATATAACCTCACACTTTGTCACGGTCCTGAAAATAAGGCAATTGTCATACAAGGGTATACATGGGAAACGTCAAAAAAACAAAGTTCTTCGATGTCAATTACTTAAACTTGAATTAAGGCATTTCATCATGGAGTCAAGTGCCAAATAAAGAAAAAGTCGTGCAAATTGGCGAGGAGGATGAAGGTGTGAAAAAGTTGCCTCCTCTGAGACGAGGCAGGTGACTTCTGAATCCCTGTATCTGTGTTTGCATCCCAAGACTGAACTAACAGTAACGCCGTGTCGAAGTTTTTTCACACTCCTTTTTGACAGCATCCAGGGAGTGGGACATTTAAAAACACCACCAAGAACAGCAGTGGGTTAGGACTGGGAAATAGTTTGACTAAAATATGGACCAACTGTGTCAGGCAAACAGTAGGAAACAATTGCCAGTCAATATTGGTTAAAATATTGATATATCTTCATTTTTGAAAAAACTAAAAGTGACGCAATTTCTGAAGTCTGTGAGGTTACGCCCAAACGTCAAGTACATGTAAATGTAAGGATCATTCGAAGTCATCTCGATAGACATGCGAAGCATATGGGTCAACATTACTTCCGAAAATAGGTTTATTTAAAAGGACAGTATATGAAATACAGTTATATATCCAAAATAACGTTTGTCTAAAAAAGTCCCAATTTTTTAAAATATAAAATGCGATTTCGCAGGTACGCATTTGAAAATGTCATCTAAATTTGATGTACACAAAAACCCGTCTTCTAGATGCATTTTTAATGACACTTTTGCTTGGATTTCCCACACAGTTGCTTTGAATGGTCGAGGACTTTACCAAAAATTCAAAAACTTCTCTTATTTTCTGATTAAAATAAATTCTATTCTAATCTGGTCATTATTCTGTATTCTGAGATGCATATATGCGCATCAAAACACTTGGAATGCCTTGACTTATTTTATCCTTTCAAGCCTGAAGTAAGTTATGGTGGTAAAGAATCTCTTTGGCCTGAGTGGTTGAGGAACCTATTGCAGCGTAAAAGATGTAATTAGAAAATAGTGTCTTTCCAGCATTGAGTTAAAATGAAGTTGGGGCTGCCAAAGATACTATTGGATCGCTATTTTACACCGTGAAGGTTATCCTTAAAATACTTCCTTCTAGAGAACGAAATTTTGGTGCCTGGTTAATAATAGCAAAGGGATACTAGAAGTATTTTTACGTTCGTGAGCATTAACCCACTGCTAAAGCACTAAAAAGGAAAATAGAGTAAGCCATAAGTCGTGCAGTGGGACAAGTTAAAACCTTCCTGGGTGACACTTCAAACACAGCACTCATCATGACAGTGATTGCAAGTTTTAAGCGCCGTTTCAGGATTGACATGATGGATGCTGTTTTTGTTCAGTTAGCCTGCTCAAGAAGCCATTTTTCGCGTAGATTTTCCGTTTTGCCTACGTAACACGTCAAACATTTATCTCTACTAAGGCCAACTAGGCTTTAAAAAGTATGGTTGTTTGGACAGTGAATGAGGTAACGTAGCAATCGTAATGGGTGTTGGAGATAGTGTGTCTCATCTACTAAAAGATGGTAAACCAGTAAAAGTTTGCCCTCTTGAGACCCATAATTATGATTCGTCCCCTTTAGTACCCCTGAAATTATGCATGTAAAAAATACAGCCTAAAGTTTAAATATTTTTGTTATTATTATTTGTCCACATATTTTGAATGACACAAAACTCAAAATGATCTATCTGTTACAGAAAAAGTTAGGAACAGGCAACTTTTGGCATCCATCCTAAAAGCTTTTTAGCTTCGCCCGTAATTATGGTTATCGCGTAACCGCTTTAAAACCACAATTTAACGTTAGAAGGACTCTTTACAGTGGCTAGACTGCTTGTGCTGAACAAAAATCTTGCCTCTTTTCCAGGGTGCTAAAATAACGGAGTTAAGGCTGTTTACTTACTTGAAGGATTGCTGCAACCATCGCCCACTTTTCATACATGTCCCTAATTAACTAAACAACCAGAAAGCGTTAAAAATTTGTATTAAATACGCGGTTTTTAGATCCAGTTTGCTTAAAATGTTTTTGAATACGCAGTAACCATTATGCGTAGATATAAGCAAAACAAATAAGAATTATGGGAATAACGGGAGCAATTTTTTTATTTGTTTTGGAAATGCAGCATATATTTCAAAATTAAACATGGGAGGAGTTGGTTCGAATGAGAAATAAAATTTAGTTTAGCAAATAAATAACCACTTTTGCGCAAAAGCATCACCAAGCATTGTTTTAATGGGCACCACACAAACTGTGCCATTTAAAGTTTTGCTCCATGCAGTCATATTCTAACTCCCTTTGTATATACTTAGAATTGTCCTGTTTCTGGTGTTGCTATAGTTGAGCAAAAACTGATGATAAACTATCTACAGTGATATTTTAATGAGTAGAAAACTAAACCTAGGATGAGGACATTTAATGAGGTAAACTTTGCCCTAATCTGCATTACTCTCCGTTCAAAGACCGACTTTTAAGCACCTGGGAGCATTTGGCACATCATACCAAAACTTGAAGACAGAGTTGAACCTCGTTGCGCGTGTAAGTGTATTATTCGAAATAAACTTGCACCGACGATGCAGCCTCCAGTGTCTAGTCTGCAATGTTGTAATCCTATTAACCACTTCGATGGCATTTCTTCACTAAGCCTTTTCCAAAGTAGTAATTCCTGAGCTTTCAATACTTAGCCAAACCCAAAAAATACTCAAGAAAAAGCATATTATGCCATGTTATGTAAGGAATCCTTTGTTAGATGCTTTTAATTCTAAAGATTATCTCCCGCACTATGTATTGGACAAAACGTCTGGTTTCCTACCTCTTACCCGGGTGCACACTTGTCTGCTTGTGGAATTGAAATATTAAATTTGTGGTTCGTGAAAACCATTAATATAAGTAATAGCTAACTGGTAAAATGATTAAATACTACTGCCTTTATTCACTTTATGAAACTTATAACTGAAAATACCTATTCATTACTACTAATTAGGTACTTAATCATTAAGACTGCTATAAATCAATTTATGCAATATCAGTGTACTATTCTAAACACTGAATTAATCTTTTTGCTTTCATTTACAGTCATTACCATACTAGAACTTGGCTAGTTTCAGGGTTAAAAGCCAGCTTGGCAAACAGCTAATCACCTATTATCACACAATTTAACAGAGAGAATAATATGACGCCGAAACTACACGTTTTTTATGATTCCAGTTATATTGGCGGAAGTAGATGTCTTGGAGTCGAAGCCATTCTATGGCCTACGTGGAAGTCATTCCAGCTCCGGGTGGCCCTATTCCGGAGCCAGCATTCCTATCAAAGTTCTCCACTCCGTCAAAGGATCTTTGCGGTTACATGAGCGTGTCGATATCTACTTCATTCAAGGCACAAGCTGTGGCATCACTAACACAATGTTTCCGCGCCACAAAGGCAAATACCTCCTATCTGGTAAGCTAGAAAATGTTCTTTTAACGAAGTTATGATTGGTTAAATGTTACATATGAATGTTAAAGAAATATTCTACTGTCATTTCAGTACAAGTCTAATTGTTCATACTCAAGATAAAATCCATTGAAGATCTTTAAAGGCTTAAACTCAAGTGCGGCATCATCAATGCAATTTTTTGCTTGGAATAAAGTAGAAGAGTTAGGATTAGGTAGAGCCAAGCCGGCTTTGCATAATTGAACTAGCTGCCTATTACTGGTTTTGTCGGACGCAGGTTTTAGGATAGAGATGCCTGGCTGCAAGGACTTAGGTCCCTCTTGCCATCTGCCAGCCATGATGTACCTTGTCACACGCTGTGGATGGAGTCAGGAGATGGAGGACCTCACTGTCACGCAAATTGCTGGCCTCTTCCTAAAAATGTATTCTTGCGGTGAGAGAGCCTGTTCCGTAAGTCCGTACTCCTGCTCACTGTAACTGTGCCTTTTCTGCAAATCTTAGGCTAACATGGCAGAGGCCAAGGTTGCAAAGGGATTTAGACTTATTCTTGTGCTTCGGTATCACCATGTTTGCGCCAAGCAGATTTCCGAATGAAAACTGTGAATCAACTGCGAGTAGTGAGAGGGCCGTCATAAAATTGATTGGCAAAGGTTACCATCTTTCATGTAATGTTTGCTTGGAGGCTGACAGATAAGTTGAGACTGGGAATGTATTTTTGATGCAGAGTCTGCTAAAGAAATGAGTGCTCAGGGAAAAATTGGGCACAATATAAGCGGGAATTGGAAGTATACCAACTTGCGCTACTTGATATTTGATTTATTACAATAGTAATAAAATATTAATCAACAGGCGTAAGTGCTACGATTACAACCGAAAATACTAAGGGAAAGTGCAGTGAGAAGTCCTATCCACTTCGGTATACTGTGTAACTTGAAGAGTAGCATTTTTTGGAGCAAAGCGCTGACATCCATTTAAATGCAATATTTAAACAATTGTTGGTGCCATATCTCTCTGAACGAAAGGGCGCAGCCATGGCAATTGCGTCGTTTCAAAGAAATAGTGAATTGGAAAGCAGGCAGTATTTATGTAGGCAATGGGTTGAATCTTTGCAGGTTCATCACCACATAATCAGCTAATGGAACACCACGCCCTTCCGGATACACACACACACAAAACGCGGGCGAAGATTGCTGTACAGAGTGAATCTGCAATGCTGAATAGGCCCAATATATCTTGGGCCTTGTGCATTTCCTTTAAGTTTATTGTAGCATTTTTATGAAGTGCAAATCCATTATGGAACAAGCACAATAGTAGCAGAAGAACTCCCTTCCTGCAATTTTCTTGGCGCACATTCTTTTGGGCCTTTAAATCCACATTCACTTTACTTTTTATTTGCGATTTGTTTAGTATAAATCTTAAATAAATAGTCAAATACTTTGTGGGTACAATTTAATGGATGTTTAAGGCATCAATACTTAAGGTTGGCGCCCCCCCCCCCCCCACCGAATTTATCAACCTAAAATAAAAACACTTTAAATTATTGCTACCATAAATTTTTATGATTTTTTAAAAACAAATTTGCTTAGTCTCTAAGTCATTCCGAAGAGATTAGCTTTTATTGGTTGTGAAATGCTCCTCATTTCCATCCACAATAAAAGTAAATACATGATTGTTGCCTAAAACCCTAAAATATCAGATTTTTTAGATTCCTTTAATAACAGGTATGATTTACAGTTCTAAATAAATCTTGTTTATTCTCCTTTTGAAATTTTTGTGCGCAAGAAATTTCTTTGGCTTACTTGACATGGTTCATTGAAGTGGTTTGGCAATATCTGATGCAAAATATGGCTGGAGGGGAAAGTGGATAAAATATGCACAAAATGGTGGGTTGGGAAGCGATGATAGCTGTTGCTGTGGTTGGCCGAAATGTCGGAGTGTGAGGTGGGAAATGTCATGAGGCCATTCGGTGGTGGTCCATTGTTGATATTTTCTGAAGGAAAAGCGAGTGATCCCACACGTACACGTTATCGAAAACACACGCCCATTCGTGGGCTGTAAAAAGAGCAGGTTATTAATGCAATGCCTTTCATGAAGCTCTCAGGCCATGCATCGCGGAATTCACTAGACCTCAAAGTTTATTTTCCTAGAAAAACTCAAACACAACACCGCAATTTATAATATCGCACTATCACGACAAATTGTCATATTTTCAATATGACCTTAAAATTTCGGAATCCTTCCAATTTTAACCATTTTCATTCCTCATGAAACTTTAGGATATCCCAATTTTGGTCAAATATACGTTAAAAATAAATTAAGTGGCTTAAGTGTTCTGAGCTGTAATTTCCTGCCGACTGTGTAACATGAACATAGTTCTGAGCTATTCTGAATTGTCTTAGACAAAGTACAACTTGTTTATTTGTTAATTTTGTTTTAATTAAGAAAATCAGCTGTTTGCTGTCTTGAACAAAAACTATTAAATTGTACCAATCGAAATAATTTTATTCGGTAACGACAAACCAAGTATTCCGCATTTACATAATATTAACTTAGCATTAAATTATATTTGTAGCAATGACCGTTTATGATTACAAGTCTCCTTCGGGGACAACTTACAGTGGAATTTACAAATTATGCGCAAATGTTTGCCTCACACTAAGCCCTAGCTAACAGTCTTCCCGGGCT